ATATTATTTTTCCTTTATATTATATTATATTATATTTAACTCATATTATTTGACAAGTTTTCACATCACAGTTAAAATATTAACTAGACAATATTATAGTATTTATAACATAGAACCATACTTTTAATTACTAATGAAACCGTGATCACACGATAATAGAAAATACGTGATAGTTTCTATGCTAGTTCATCGTAATAGTGTGATAGTAACAACTATCGTGTTTACTACCACCGTGTATCCGCGGCTTTCGATCAATCTCGATGTAAAAGCAACAAAAATAATTTAAATTTATATATTATATACGTTTTAGGATATTATATATTTTTTTATACAGACAGTAAACATTATTGAATATTTTTTTTTTCTAATTAAAACATTTTTACGTAAAATAATATTACACGTATAATACAACTATCACATTATCAATACCAAATATTTATAATCAGCGAAAGTATTTCAACGTTGATAAACTATAGATAACCGTAATAGCGTTTTTCCATATTCTGACTACTAGTACACACTACACGTGAACACTGATTCCATAATCACATAATTGACCACACCATTGAAATTCACGGTATCGACCAGACACTAGACAGTCGTGTACACCAGACAGTGTACACCACTACACCAGTGTGTACTAGTGCAGTCAGATTTTGAGGTTAAGTTACAATAATTATCAATAATAAGCATGAACTAAGATAATATCTTAGTTCGTGACACTGTTTAAGATAGAAATATAGAATTTCTATCTAAAGTCATACCTACATGATATAACGATCATAGTAATATTATAAAGCTATATTACAACGATACATTGTTATTATTCTATTTTTTTTTAAATATTTTTTTTTATTTTAAAAAAGAAGTTTAGATGTTAAATTTAATAAATAACAATATAAAAATAGTACTTACATAGCTTGTGGAAATTTAAGTATTTTTTTCTAAGTATGATGGCTTGTTGAAGAGGTCTGATAATCTGCTGGCTGACTATTGGTTGGCGAAGAATGCTGTTCTGCTGTTGCTTGAACTGATGACGATAAGCTAAGAAATTCTGTGTTTTATACCTGAAAATAGCCCCTCTCTGTTCACATCAGAAACTTTTTTAGAATGAATTTAAACATTTTAATATATTACATACCCTGTTTTCATATTAGAATGACATTGGTGTGTATGTAAATTATTTTAAATCCTGATTGTAATAATTTACATTCATATAGTGTACCTAATTATAATATGAAAGTGTAACATGTTCGTTACAAAAGCAATTTATGATAGCAACAATTTAAATTCATATAATGTAATTTCCTGTTGTACCTCTATGTACATGTTTCGACCGGTTTCTGTAAGGTAAGGTCATTGCTGTGGAAATTTGCATTTTAAATTATTGAAGTAGTGGCAAAATCTGTGTATAAAATACAGAGGGAATTCACTAATATTCACCAGTCTTCAAGATTTCGTCCCAGGACAAGCAGCTCAGTTCAACAGAGATACTACCAAAAAAGATGTCGTACCGTACAATTGCTTCAACTGATTCAGAGGTTAGTAACTACTTAGTAAATATCTTATAACCAAAGCTAATTGGAGGCTAGTCGTAACACTACTCAACGCTATGGTTATAATTCTTAAAATAATATTAAATGCCTGATTATAGCATAGTTTAAAAAACTATATAGTAACTAAAGCATATTGGAGGTCAGTCGTGACATTACTCAACGCTTTGGTTATAATTCTTGGAACATAGAAAATATAAAATGAAAAAATAGTAAAAATAATATACTATGTTTTATGTTTCATAGAATGAACATTTCAGCGAATCAATTGATATGAGACCGTCTTTTTCAAAAACAAAACCTGGTCTAAAACGTACTGCAGAAAAAACAAGTGTGAAAAAACCTATGAAAAAAAAGCAGAATAAAATGGTAGTATAAATAATATTTATTATAATGATAGCATAAATAATTTAATTTTTTTATAGAATGCGTCATACAGAGATAATGTTACCGAACGTTTGAGATCAGAAGAATTTGATGTCGAGTTAATTAATTCGCTAACATTTAGACAAGGGGACAGTGGTGTTGTAACAATCAAGTCACCTTTTGAAGAAAAAGCAAAGGAGCTTTGGGTAATTAGCCACTATAAGGTTGCTAACATTGAGAATGTACCAGTAAAAGACAGGTAAATACATTGGTTTAAATTTAAAAAACCTATTGATGAATCTGTTTTTTTTTTCACTGATTTTATTTACTTCTTTTGTTTTTAAAATAAAATAATTTGGTGTTATAGATGGAAGTTCAGTGAAGCTACTGTCAGATTGTATACAAGCGATGAATCAAAAGATCAAACGCTTCATACTGGTCTTAATGAGGCAATGCAAACCATATTTGACAAATTACTAACCGATCCGAAGCGTCAGACTATTAAAAGCAAGACGACCGTTTGATTATTATATGAAAAAATGAGTTTCATTTAATAAACAAAATGTTATTATACATGTATGTTTTTATTTATTCAAAACTTAAAGGTCTTGGAAAACATAAACCTATAAACTATGGTTGGTTGGAAAAAAATTTAAAATATTAACAAATTAAAACTAAAACTTATTAAAACTATTCTTTATGATTTAAGGTGAGATGTAATTAAAATAAAAAGCAAGTTTATTATTGAATAAAAGTTTTATTAAAAAAAAAAAAAAAACAATAATTATACATATTTAAATATTTTTTTATGATATTAGGTCTTGTAAAATCATATCAGACAATGTGTTAAAATGGAATTGTAATATTTCATATAAAAATGATGTGTCATCGTTCTGTAGGTGATTATAATAATTAAAATCATAGTTTTGAATATATTGGTTGGTAAATTCGTGCCTTTGACAGGTGGACGGCAGACCACGGACATCATTTTTAATTAGGTCATATGCAGTGTTGAAAGTATTTTGATAATTTGCTAAACGTTTTTGCTTGTCTACCACGTACAAATCTATCAAATTCTGTAATTGACGAAGTCGGTACAAATCTACATGTGACAAGGTAATGTATTCCTCATTTAGATGTAGGGTAATTAAACTCTGTTTAACATTGGTTGAATATGAAAAGGAATCGGTGATTTTTACACGCCTCACCCTAGTATTTAAATTATTAATAATCGAATTGTAATTAGGTTCAGACATCAGTGTAAACCATTCTTCTAAACTTAATGTGATAATTTTCTTTGTAAGTTTACATTCCAATAATAAAATAATTGAAATCTGCTTGTTAATTAGTAATCCAACTGTAATACTTTTCTTGTTAAAAGCCCGGATGTCGAATGTAGACTTACAGACAATTATTGGTGAACTCATGGTGAAGTTATTTTTGACAAATTTAAAAAAAAAATCTTTTATAAATAAGAAGTGGGATATAACTGTTAGGAGTTATACATTGAACTGCTAGTTTGTTCCCTTTGCAGTCATATTATATACTAAAAAACTCTGGAAAAAATGCAAAAAATGTGAACATACAGATAGCCAATGAGTGCGTACAAGAGAGGGAATTTACATATACTTACTAACCTGTTACCTGAAAAACATTTTAAATTATTTTATACGCACTAATTCGCTAGGACTGTATGTCCACGAGATATTAAATCGAATATTAACACATTTAAGATAAAAAATTCAATTTTGTTTTATTTTTTTTTTATCCAATACAGCAAATATTATAAGCAGCATAAATATATGTACCTATATATAAACATTTAAAAAAAAAAAACATGATTTAACAAATGGTGTCGTACGAACCGGTTTCACAATTACAAATAACTTCGGTTTTACAATATTTACTTAAGACTTTTTGAACAAACTGATTTCCTTTCATTAACAATACAAATAAACATCTAGGTGAGAATCGAGTATGTTCTATGAAACAATTATCACCGATTTCAAAACTATGTAGAATTATTCCACACCAATGACATTGAACTGCATCGTCGAGATTGATATAGTAAAATCCACATTCCGAGAGTTTGTACTTATTTTGTCCGGTATTTGAAGGGAAACTTCTAAAAGTTCGTAACCTCGATACAAATGTAGAGAATTCTGGATACGCTGGCGATGAATTGAATCGTATTTGATCGACCAATGACTGGATATCGTTTGTGCATTTTTGAAAATTCATTTTTGAAGAAATTAAATAACTTATCCAATTTAATAAAACTTTGAGAAAATAAAGAAAAATGAGACACAACTTGAGTGAACGATAGTTCATTAGTAACTGAATATAATAAAAAAAAAAATAATCAACTTTAAAAATTATTGTAAATTTGTTTATCAAATTTTAGATAAAAAAACAGTGTAACCAACACGAGTAAAAAAGAAAAAAATATTAAATATTTTTTTGCGTGAGACGAAATTTGGTAGTCAATCAGTGTGAAATTGTGTTACACGGTAAATCTGAGTGCTCCAAGGGGACATTCCCCCCCTTGAACTTTTTTTTTCCCCTGGAAAAGCTGGCTGTGAACATACAAATATATACTACTGTTGTCCGTGTAAATTGCATGTTTGATGTTGTTGTATATTTTGCCATGGGTTATAGCTAGTTTTTCTTTGTAGAGGTGAACTGTTAATAAGTATTTATTGTTTTGTTTTGTCATGTAATTTATATGGCTGGAGCAGCTTGCTAGTACTTCTGCTCGATTCATTCTTAGTGATGTATTTGTTGTTGGTGTATTGTTTCTTGTGTTGTAGCAAGTTGATATTTGAGTTAGTGTTGTGCACCAAAATGTTGTTGTGTTATATTTTCTGGCATCAGTTCGTGATGGTGGGTGGCGTTCTATTTGTATTTTTTTCATTAGGTCAAAGTGATAGTCCATGTTTCTAAATTATGATATTAATTATTTAATAGATTGGCTATTTTGTGATGTTTTATATTAATTTGTATGTTTAATTTGATATTTATGTTGAGAAAAGTTATTTTATTTAAAAAATCTATTGTGGTAATGATGTGTAATGTAAGTTCTTATAAAGTCCTTCTGGGTGTTTGATAGTGTGAATTTTCGACTCTGAGGGGTGGATAAAGTTGTCGGGGTGCTGGTATGGGTTGTTCCTGAACTGTGTTTAATAAATAAGTGTTTTGTTGAGTGATTTCTTCTGTAGTTAATTTTCTTGGTTTTTGTTTATTGTCATGTGAGTGTGATTTGTGCATAAAATAATGTGTCATGCTAGCGAACACACCTGCTAGCACTTTGAAACTGCATCCAAATGTTTGGTATAATATTGACATGTTGATTGTTGTGTTGAGGCATATCATTAGAATTTTCCATGCGACAAATACGCCTAATAGTCCAGATATAAAGTTTCCAAATCCTACGAACCAGCCCCACATTTTGTTAAGTTTATCTTCAACTAATCTGCTTATGAGTTGTTCATCAATATATGGCTTGATTTTTAGGCCTTGATCTATTGTATTGTAGCCCATCGTTTGTCTGGCTAGATTACTTTGAGCTGCGTCAACTTCTTGGGGAAATAATAAATGTTTTTGTAGGGCATTGATCATGTCGCTAGAGTATAGTCCTGCGTTCATTAGGTGTTCTGGGCTTCTATATGCCCAAGTCCAAGATGTTTGTGGTTTTAATATTTGAGGTATTTTGCCAGATCCTAGCTCGTTGTATTCGGGTGACATGCTGATCCATTCTCCTTCCATTAGATATCCTGTTGGTAGTATGATGGTACAGTCAATTTCTGTCCCGTATTTTTGTAGTGTGTGTGTTTTAGGCGCCATGAATAATTTTTGTTTATTGTAGACTACTGGTAGTTCTTGAAAACAAACTTTGTGGCTTCTGTCAAGTTCAACGTCTACAGGCTTGCATTTTATTAGATAAACTATTTCTCCGGTTTTCAATGCAGTGTAGCCAGGTCCTTCTCCCATTGTGTAAGCGAATTCTGATAAGCTGTATGAAGCTAGTGATAATTTTTGCATGAGTATGTTTCTTTCTAAGTGACATTGTTTGGTCACCAGATCGATATACATGGATGTGACGGTGGCTTGTAGAATGTTTTGTATATAAACAAATTTTGTATTTATGTAAGCCATTAAGTCTGTATTGTATGTAGAAATAGGTTTAGTGTGAAAAAATGGTATGTTGGTACGGTCTGTTAATATGAATAACCTCGGATGTTCGGTTCGAAACACTGGTATATGGCATGCATAATCAATATTTAATTTTTGTAGGGCAAATGCAATTTTGTCGGATTCGACTAAGAAAGTTTGTATTTCATTAGATGAGTTTTGGGATTGTTTAGATGTTATCAGAGTGGCTGGGCCTTCATATAAGGTGTCATAATCGTTGACATCACAGTTTGTTTGTTGGTTGTATTTCCAAATGATTTCTCCTTTGTGTGAGTCCATACCATATGACTCAGATAATTTCAAACGAGTGCCTGTGGGTAGTACAAGTAGGTCTTCCCTGCTGTTGGCTACTGCTACCCCTTCTGATAACAATATTTTGTATTTAGCTTGTACTAATACATTGTCCCATTCGAATTTGTCTGTTCTGAATGTTTCTCCAGTGCAGTCGCCATTATGGTTGACTGCGCCTTTAATAACGTCCGAAAAATACATTGTCTGATTTATTCTAATATTATTTGCTGTTATGCCTTGGTAAAATTCGTAAGCACGCCTAGCGTGTGCATCAGCACATTGAGCTGCACCTATTTGTATAAGTTCTGTAAAGTAACCATTTCTTACGACTTGAGCATCGTCGAAACTGGCGCATTTCGTAATTAAATAGTCAGCTACGATGTAGCATGCTTGAAATTGTATTTGTACTGTTTCTCTGATTTGTAGTAATTTCATAATCGGGATTTTGTCTATTTTGTTTGGTAGGGGGGGTGAGCAGTAATCTACGTTTAGTGTGTTGAAAGATGTAATATTGAGTTTCGTGCCAGAGCAGTCATAAGCTATGAATCCTCTCGTGTATGGTATTGTGTGTGTGATTATTGTGAGTATTGTGTATATTGTTGGTTTGAGTTTAGACATGTTTATTGATGATTTGTATTTTATAAATATTTAGTTACCTATATCTGTGGGTTCCTTTTCTTCGCTTGAATCTGAATTGTCTCTCTGGAAGTATGGTTTCAATCGTCTAATATGAACGACATCTATTGTTAATTTATTATTTAATACAAGTTCTATCATATAATTTACGTCGCTAACTTTTGAAATTATTTTGTAAGGGCCTCTATATTTTGGCGCTAATTTAGCCGTTTTATTTGGTTCTTGGAATGGAAATTTGACTAAAACTAATTGGTTTGGTTCATATGTTGTGAGTTTGTGTGATTTGTCATGGTTTAATTTTTGTATATCTTGAGCTTTTTTTATGTAATCTGGTATGCTTGCTCTGACCTGTTTTAGTTCCTCGAGTGATTTTTTTATGTCGTAAGATAGGTTTTCAGGGATTATTTGTATGTCTATACCTATGTTTGCATTGAAGCCGTGTAATAGATAATACGGACTGTAATTTGTGGATATTTGCGGTGAGTTATTGTAACTAAATATTATGTAAGGCAAGTAAAATGACCATCTTGATTGGTTGTTGTCTTTTATGTAGTGTCTTATTGCTTGACATATTACTCCGTTGATTCTTTCGGTGAATCCTTGTGACTGGGGTGCGTAGCTGGATGAGAATATTTGTTTTATGCCGAAATTTGTACAGGTGTCATTTAAAATTTTGTTTCTGAAGTGAAGTCCTCTGTCGGAGGTGAGGTATCTGGGGACGCCGTATTGTGTGATGTATTGTATTAGAAATGTTGCTACAGTGTTGGCGTCTGCTAGCCTAGTGGCTTTTGCTATGACGTATTTCGAGCTTTGACATGTGAATACTAATATGTATTTTTTGTTGTTGCTGGATGGTAGAGGGCCTAGGAAGTCCATGGTTATTCTGTCCAATGGTTTACAAGTTGGTAGTGGTATTGGTTGTAGGCATCCTGCTGGTTTACCTTGTGACTTTTTATTTATCTGGCATTGATGACATGATTTGATAAATGTCGTTACGTCTTTTATTAATGATGACCATGAATATTTTATTTGAATTGCTTTAATAGTTTTCGTGATCCCTAAGTGTCCTGCTAGAGGGGGGTTATGATGGGCTGTGATCACATTTTGAATTAAGTTCTTTGGAATTACTATTGCATTCTCTATGTTTTGTTTGGGCATGTGCCTTTTGAGGTATAAAATTTGATTTGTTATTATGTATCGTCTTGATAGTTTTTTATATTTGTTAGATGTTGGTATGTTGTTTAAAGCTTTCATTATTTCATTACAAAATTCATCGTTCTTTTGACTTTGTATTATGTTTATTTCTGTGGGCTTGTCATTGTTTATGTTATGTATTGGTTCATGATGGAAGTGTTGTGAGTCGAATTCGAATATTACTGCGTCTATGATATTGTTAAGAACCCCTGGCTATATTAGTTAGTATATATATATAATAGTGTATAATATAATATTGTACGACGGCGACTGTCTGGAATTGCTGCGACAGCAATTCCAGACAAGCGCTGGCTACAGGCACGGCTCGTATAGCAAGCCGTGCCAGTGGCATTTCAGAGCAGTAGACGGAACATTGTGATTCGCGCCAGAACATTATTATTGTCAGACCCTTTTTTTTATAAAACATTAAATAATTAATTAAGTGTATTGTAAGTTTTTCTTTTCAAGTTAAATATAGAAAGTAACATATAGTTCGAAAGTGTTCGTTGTTTTTATTTGTGCACGGACCTCCAAGGAGATACGTAACATTTTTGGTGGCAGCGGTGGGATCACGACAAATATCAGTATCCCGTTACCACGAGCAATAGCCGAACTAGACTTTCAACAATATATTAGAAGAAAAGGAAACGAACAAAAGCGTATCCATCCGAAACAGAACATTGTACACAAAGTTGCGTAAGGTAACATTAATAGTATAAGATATTATTATTTTATAATATTTTATATATTTTTATATACATCTATATGGTGTGTATATATACATGCAAACGGTTGCGTGTGAACGTGTCTCTATAAACGCGCGATCAGCAAATTCCCGGCGTGGTGTAATACATACATACGCCGTCGAAAAAAAAAAAAATTGACGACAGGCAGCCGCCGTGTGTGTGTGGGCCCGGCGTACGTGTTGCCGCCGCCGTCGTGGTTGTGACGACATCCGTGTCGCCGCCGCCGACGTTTGAAAACAGACGACAACACAGCTGCTGTTACGATAATACGATATCAGAGCCGCCGCGCGCCGCCCTCGTTGTTTATAAACACGATAGCGCCGCCGTAACGAATTTATATCAAAATATAACGATATATTTACGTTATTTAATCATCGAAGCGAAACCCAATAATTAATTATTGGTCCCCGCGCCAGCAGTTTCGGGGCGTAGAACATCGTTCCGAAGTGGTTAAGGTGTCGAAGAGGAAATTCGACGTGTTATTGTTCCGAGATCAATTCGACGTCATATACCAGAGCATTCAGCACCAATCACAACGACCAGGCGCAGACGAACACTGAACATTTCAATTCATTATCGTCGAACAATTGTGGTGGTCGTGAGTATTTAGCATTAAGTTTTCAGCTCTGTTTATATTTAAATATTTTTTTTTTACAAACAAAGGATAATAAATTAGTATACACCATATATAAACATAAACCTATGGTAGGGAAAAAGTCTTTCTTTGTAAACACATGTTTCTCAGTGTTTTATTATACCGAATTCTTTTTTTTTAAATATCTCTTTACGATTGGGAATAAACCTTTTATGAAACTCTTAGGCAAACTTTAATGAGCGCAAATTCGGGGGAGGATTCAACCACCAAGGGGGCTAACACGTCCGTTACTGATACCCCTACCCCTACACCAAGAGTAAGTTTACCTGTAAGGTGCTCCAATCCCGACAATCCAAATTCCGAGCGTCTAATACACGAACTTTCCGTCGACCATTTACTAATTAAGGAAGCGGATTTGACTGTAGCCACAAATAGTCTTTTAGCCGAAGTTAACGAAGAACTCAGGGACATCGACAAAAGTTTAATTCACGTCGCCCTCGAAACCATTTCAACAGAAAATTCAGAAAATTCCCAAAACACAAAAATTCTACAGACCAATCAAGAGAAACTTTTGGACTGGTCTTCAAACGACACAGTTGAATCGACAAACCAAGGAATTAAGCTTCTCGTAAATCAAAAACCATTGGAAATAATGGGAGATAAAAATCAACCAACAGGGAGTGGTGTACTAGGACCACAGTTGACCATAGACACAGACATTTCAAATAATCCAGATTTAAGCCAATTAATTGATCTAAAGATTCAGGAAATCATGAGGACAAGAGATAGCGCCAGTTCGAGACATGGAGATTCGATATCTAATAATCAAATCGGACTTCAGGATGCGATTAGGCTATTACCAAAGTCATTCGATGGAAAAGACACCGAAAATTTAGAGATTTTCCTTGAAAAATGCGAATTTGTTGTGTCATGTGTAGTGGAACCGGCAATTCCACGACTGCTTCAGGCAATCCAAACCAGGTTAACCGGGAAAGCGAGGCAGGTAACAAAGTTTAAAACATTCGACACATGGGAAGAATTACGGGAAACACTTAAAACAAGTCTAGAACCCCAGCGAACCACACAACATCTATTTTTAGAATTGTACGCCATCAAACAAAAAAATGGTGAAGATATTCTGACCTACTCCATGAGAGTAGAAGCTTTACAAAATCTTATCATTGAACAGGAAACTGCAGACTTTTCACCAGAAATTGCCCAAGCGATGGAAATTTCTATTAAGAGACAGGTAATTCAAGTCTTTATGGAAGGCTTGGGGAACCTAAAGGACTACATTAAGGCCAGAAACCCACTAACCTTAGATAAGGCCATACAAGCCGCCCGAGAGGAAGAACGGATTAGGATGTCATCCGAAGAATCCAAGAAACTTTACAAAGGAAACGCGGTGGCAACGAAAAAGCCAAATGGTTCTTGCAACATTTGCAATAAACCAGGGCATTGGGCCCGCGATTGTAGATCCAACCGAGGTAACAACACAAATCAATCAAAAAATTCCAGCACGCCACACGGAACCTCCAAAGCCGCAGTGAACACCATCACGTGTCAGTACTGTAAAAAACCGGGGCACACAAAAGATGTATGCCGGAAATTAAAATATGTTACCGGAAAAAGGAATGAAGCAGCTCAAGCAGAGACTTCGGAAAACCAAAATCAACCGGGCGCTTCCGGCGGACGTCCGGTAGGGAGCATAAAAAGCGCCGCCATATCATTTCCAGAATCTTCACATTAAAGTCAAATTTAACAGATAATACTTTTACATGCAGAACCTCTCAGACAATTAACCCCAATGCTAAATTTTTACTGGATTCAGGAAGTGATCTCAATCTAATTAAAATTTGTTCACTTTTGGATCAGGTAATGGTATACGAAGATACCATTTACTATTTAAAGGGCATCAACGAACAGTTAGTCCCAACATTAGGTCGGACGACTATAAGTATTCAAATTGGCGAGCGTACGATGCAAGTAGAATTTCAATTAGTACATTCCAACTTTCCCATTACACAAGATGGAATTTTAGGGAAACCCTTTATAATAGGGAACCATACGATTATTAATTATCAAACTAATGAATTAATAGTACCAGATACCGTTAACATGAAAATCCAAGCTCGAACAGAAACTTTGATCGCAATACCTATCACAGAATATCAAGAGGGTGAAACACTTTTAATCCCAGCTCAAAAGATTTCAGAGAATATCCTATGTAGCAATACGGTTAACCAAGTGCACCAGAATCAGATACTTATAGCGGTGATTAATCCCACGGAATCTTCAGTGGAACTTACCCAAGCACAAACGAAATCAATTTCTATTCATAAGTTTGATGAAGTTAATGTTTATGCAACTCAGAACATACCAGAAAAGTCCAGCGGACAAGGCCGTTTAGAAACCCTAAGGGAAAAATTAAATTTGGATCATCTAAACCAAGAAGAAAGAGAATCTCTTATGCCAATATGTGAGGAATACTCAAATATCTTCCATCTAGATGGAGATAAACTATCTTGCACTGACCAGATTTATCATGAAATCAAAACAAACGAGGCCGCACAACCGATTAATGTACGTCCATATCGGTTGCCTTTTAAGCATAGACAAGAAATTGACAGACAAATTCAGAAGCTTGAGGAGGACAACATTATTGCTCCGAGCAAAAGCCCTTGGAATGCGCCATTACTCGTAGTTCCCAAGAAGCCTGATGAAAACGGTGTCGTGAAGTATCGCGTGTGCGTGGACTTCAGAAAGTTAAACCAGATATCAACAGGAGACGCGTATCCTCTACCGAACATTACAGAAATTCTGGACCAATTGGGAAAATCCAAGTACTACACTACGTTGGATTTGGCCCAAGGGTACCATCAAGTCAAAATGCACCCAGACCATTGCAATAAAACCGCCTTTTCTACGGACAAAGGTCATTTCGAATTTTTAAGAGTACCATTCGGGTTGAAGGGAGCCCCAGCCACTTTCCAACGTCTAATGAATTCCGTATTAACGGGATTGAATGGGATCAAAGCATTTGTGTATTTGGACGACATCATTATATATGCCCTCGACCTTGAAGATCATTCAAGGAAATTGAAAGAAGTATTCGACAGATTACGAGAAGCAAACCTCAAACTCCAACCGTCAAAATGTTCATTCATGCGAAAAGAAGTGAACTATTTAGGACATGTTATAACCGACAAAGGAGTAAGGCCTAACCCACAAAAGATTGATTGCGTAGTAAAATTTCCAACGCCAACAAATGCTAAGGAGATAAAATCATTTTTGGGTCTGTCAGGCTATTACCGACGTTTCGTTCCGAATTATGGACAAATTGCAAAACCACTCACGTCATTATTAAAGAAGGATGTTCCATTTTATTGGTCGGACCTTTGCCAAGAATCGTTTGACAAATTAAAAGCTATTCTCACCAAAGAACCTCTCCTACAATACCCTGATTTTGAACAACCATTCAATCTCACCTGTGACGCCAGCAATTTTGCAATTGGCTGCATATTATCTCAAGGACCAATTGGGAAAGATCTACCGATAGCATATGCATCGCGCACTCTAAACAAAGCAGAACAAAATTATAATACAACAGAGAAGGAACTTTGTGCAATAGTATGGGGAGTCAAACAATACCGACCATATTTATATGGTCAGAAATTCAAAATTATTACAGATCATCGAGCGTTAAGCTGGCTTTTCAACGTAAAGGACCCGGGGTCCCGATTAATCCGATGGAGGTTGAAACTGGAAGAATATGAGTATGAAATCCACTATAAGCCAGGTGTTAGTAACACCAACGCTGATGCATTGAGTCGAATCAGAACTGTCACGACTAGATCCAAAACCAAGTCAGAACCTCCAAGACTAGAAGATAATGTAACGTCTACAAATGGTTCCGACAGAATAAAAATCGTAGATTCACCGGAAGTCTCAAACACTTCAGAACCTCTATGCAATCCAGAGCCTTCTGATGAATATTTTTTTTTTAATACCGAAGCTAAACCTACTACCAATGTAGTGGAGCTAACAGGTAATATTTTCGACTCAGAATCTACTACATCAATAGCACATTGCATTTCCGCTGATTTTAATATGTCTCGAGGTATCGCCCTTCAAATGAGACGGAAATTCGGGCAGGTGGACCAATTGCGGAAAGAACAAAAATCAGTTACTGATGTAGCCGTTATTCAGTCAGAACAACGAACAATATTTTATTTATTAACAAAAGAGCATTACTGGCAAAAGTCGACGTATCAAGCAATCTATAGTTGTTTACAGAAACTTAAAGAATTGTGTATGCAATTAAAAATAACCAGTCTAGCTTGTCCAAGGATTGGAAGTGAAGCAGATGGACTACAATGGGAAATCATCCGAAACATGTTTCGAAACACCTTTGGAAATTCGAACATCAAAGTCTGTATCTACACCAGAGATGAATTAACAGAAGACCAGAAAATACAGAAAATAAAAGAATTGCATGAAAACCCGCTAGGAGGACATCATGGATTAACTAGAACGTTCAATAAGATGTACGAAGAACATAACTGGAAGGGCATGAGAAAACAAATCAAACAATTCATAAAAAAATGTCCAAACTGTCAAAGGAATAAAACAGCGACAAGAACACCAAAAGAGCCTATGGTGATTACCAGCACAGCTACCAGAGCCTTCGAAAAAATATTCCTAGATGTCGTAGGACCACTACCTCGTTCACATAGTGGAAATGCTTTCATCTTAACGTTACAAGATGACCTCACTAAATTCGCATGGGCTTCCCCCATGGAGAATCATGAAGCGAATACGGTAGCACAACATTTTGTGACCAAATTCGTGTGCTTACACGGAATACCGCAAAGTCTGGTGACAGACTGTGGTACGGAATTTTTAAGCAACGTTTTTAAAGAGGTGTGTAAACTCCTAAAAATTAGACAGACGTCGACCACACCTTACCACCCTCAGAGCAATGGCAGTCTCGAAAGAAGTCATCGTTCTTTAGCAGAATATTTACGAAATTTTATCGGAAAAGACCAACTAAACTGGGATACTAGAATCCCATATGCGATGTTTTGCCATAACTCCACTGTTCATTCAGCCACGAAATTCCAGCCATATCATTTGGTTTATGGAAATTCTGTAAAAATCCCCACATCTTTCACTAACGAACCAGAACCTCAGTACAATTATAATGACTACCAATTCGAAGTCAAAAGACAAATGCAAGAAGCTCAGGCTTTTGCAAGAAACAATTTGCTGGAAGCAAAAAGCAAGTCAAAGGAACAGTACGACAAGACAGCAAAACATCAAATTTTTGAAGTCGGTCAGAAGGTTTTACTACAAGAAAAAGCCGCGAAAAACAAACTGGCCCCGAAGTGGTTGGGTCCATATGAAATTGTAGATGTAAATCCAACAAATAAAAATGTAACCATAAAAAAAAAATAACAAGAAGAATCAGACCATACACCAAAATTTACTAAAGTTATTTCACGAAAAATGAAACGAGAAAAATGAATTTGTTCCAGGAAACCCATCATGGCATTCGCTGGAATTTCCAAGAAAAATCCGTCATTCTCGAAAATGGTAATCCTGATAATGTGGATATGGGATAGTACATCAGAAGCTCAAGAGAATTATAACATTACTACCTTCCCGGATCACAAAGGATTCTATTATGAATCTCACGGAATGATCAAAACTTCTCACACTAAATGGAACTTGGTAACGTATGTGGACATTGGAATCTTGACCACAAAATATGATAAGTTGATGACCCAGTATAGCGAAATGGAGACAATTTGTAAGCAAATGATAGCAAACTTTGGTAATGTAGAAATAGAAAACATTTGTAATCAATTCGTAAACCAATTTTCTACTACAACCCGTCCATATTTATATGAAATTCAGTTAAATCGTCGTAACGCGATGTTATCGATAGAGCATAACTCAAATCATGAAATTCGAAATCGCCGAGGATTGGGAGGTACCTTCAAGCGCCTGATCAACGTTTTGTATGGTGCATACTCGAAAATCGACACCGAATTCATATTTAAACAGATCGTAGAATTAACCAAAAACAAAATTCAGAATATTAATTTAGTCAAAGAAAAAACAAGAGTTGTACAAGCAGAAATATTGGATGCAAATCATACTTCACAGGAAATCGCAGAACATCATCAGAAACTCGATAATAACTTGCAGTATTTACAAAGACTGACCAAAGAAAGTATCGTTAAAATCAATAAACTAGAATTTAAAAATAAACTGTTAGAGCAAGCCTTTTTATTCGAGGTAACTCTCAATCAGTATGCTTACGAAACACAAAACCTTATTGCCATTATAAATGCAGCACTGGATGGCAAGATCCACACCAGCGTAATTACCCCCAGAAAATTAATACAGGAGTTAAAAGAAATTAAAATCAACTTACCCATGGAAAACGACCTCCCGATAGAAGTAATACCTGAGTCCATGCCAAACCTTTTCAAAATCTCTGAAATAACGATTTTCGTGCAAAACGAGTACTTAATATTTTCTATTGAAATACCCTTGATTTCAAGTAAAGTATTAAATGTGTATCGAGTTGTTTCATTACCAATGATATATTCTACCAATACATTAATTTTAATTGAACCCGAAGTCGAATATTTGGTAATTAACAATGATAATGAGGAATTTTTCACTATGACAGGGAAACAGTGGGAATCATGTGTAAATTTAGACACTTACAAATTATGTAAAGGTGGTCAAACATTTCACCGCCGCTCGAGATCGAACGTTTGCGAAGTAGCACTTCTAACATATCAACCAATCCCAGAAACTTGCAAAATAAAATTTGTAACATTAACAACGTCCATTTGGGATAAGTTATTGGATTCCAATGCATGGTTATTTTACACACAACCAACTTTAGTGACCATCAAATGTGTGGAACCTCCACAAATAGTAACATTTCAGATCTCAGGCGTAGGAAGGTTGACCACCTCCCAAGATTGTGAAATCCATACAGAAAATTCCATTATATTTCCGACCAGTAGATCTAATAGAGGTATCTATACTGATTTAATTCCCGAAAGCAAAAAACAGGAATCAGTATTATCAGAGAGTCTTAAAAATATAATTCCCCAGAACCTAAAAGACATAAGTATCGTACACGATTTTAATTCTTTATCCAAAAGGTTAATAGAAATAAGTAAGTTACCAAAGGTAACAACAAAGTCTCTAATAATATTTCAAATGGAATTTCATATGGTACTTGTGTATATCTTAATGTTAACTATAATATCCGTAGTTAGTGGATTAGCTATTAAGTTTAGAAACCGCATAATTAGAATGTACTCTCCGGATTTACCGGATATTTTATCACTGAATAATAAGTAAACATTATAATCATAAATTTAGTTATGAAAACATATTGTACGGAACATTAGGGAACCATTAGGTCCCTAAGTTCCATTTAAGTTGGGGGGTGTTAAGAACCCCTGGCTATATTAGTTAGTATATATATATAATAGTGTATAATATAATATTGTACGACGGCGACTGTCTGGAATTGCTGCGACAGCAATTCCAGACAAGCGCTGGCTACAGGCACGGCTCGTATAGCAAGCCGTGCCAGTGGCATTTCAGAGCAGTAGACGGAACATTGTGATTCGCGCCAGAACATTATTATTGTCAGACCCTTTTTTTTATAAAACATTAAATAATTAATTAAGTGTATTGTAAGTTTTTCTTTTCAAGTTAAATATAGAAAGTAACATATAGTTCGAAAGTGTTCGTTGTTTTTATTTGTGCACGGACCTCCAAGGAGATACGTAACAATATTCATGATGTTTTCTCTGGACAAACAGTCGGCAACTTTGTTTTCTTTCCCTGCTTTATGTCTTATTGTGAAGTCAAAGTCTAGTATTTTTAATGTTAGCCTGGCTATTCTGGCAGATGGTATTTTTAAGTTTTTGTAGTATTGTAGGCTAATGTTGTCTGAGAATACTGTGAATTTCCGTCCCCATAAGAATTCTCTGAAATATGTTATTCCGAATACTAAGCCTAAAAGCTCTAGAGTTGTGGATGAATATGTTTTTTCAGAATCTAGTACTTTTCGTGATGCATATCCTATGGGTCTTAATTTGTTAGTTTCGTCTGGTTGTTCTAGTACAGCTCCGAGGCCGGTTATGCTGGCGTCTACTGTTAGATAAGTATCTTTGTCATCAGAGAAGTGTGCTATTACAGGTTCCGATGTTAAAATTGTTTTTAATTTGTTGAAAGCGTCTTCGTGGTCGTTGTTCCAAGTTATGTACTTATTGTTATCGTGTTTAGTTAACTGAAATAATGGGTTGGCTATATGTGAGAAGTCTTTTACTAATCTTCGGTAATAACTGCACATTCCTAAAAAGCTGCGGACTTGTTTGGCCGTTTTTGGTTGTTCGAAATTTGTTATGGCTGTTGTATTTCTGGCTAAGGGTTTGAGGCCTTCGCTGGAAATTTGGTGTCCCAAAAGTTCAATTTTCTGGGCGAATATAGTGCATTTGGCTGTTTTTAATGAAAATCCGAATTGGTTTATAATTTCGAATACATTTCTTAAATTGTGTAGTGCTGTTTCAAAGTTTTCTCCGAAGGTAGCTAAGTCGTCAATGAATATAATTACTGATTTGTATAGATAGTCTGAGAATGCTTTATTGAGTTCTCTTTGAAATATTGCGCTTGAGTTTTTGAAGCCTTGTGGTAATCTGGTGAATGTCATCAAACCGTGAACTGTAGTGAAAGCTAACATGTATTGATCCTGTTCTCTTACTGGAATTTGAAAAAATCCGCTGTTTAAGTCCAAAGTTGTAAAGAACTTTGAGCCTTCTAAACTGCGGAATAAATCTATTGTTCTGGGCAATGGGTATTGGTCTGATTCTATTATGTTATTGAGTTCTTTGTATGAAACGACTAGTCTGTAACTGTTTTTCTCCTTTTTTCTTACTAGGAATGCAGGTGAAGCAAAGTTTGATTTAGTGTGCTTGACTATGTTTGCTGTTATTAGCTTGTCTAATTGGGTTTTGAGTTCTTGTCTTTGGGAAGGGGAAATTCTGTGTGGTGGGTTGAATTTCGGCTCCTTTGCGTTTGGTTTGATTTTTATATGACAGAGTTGTACTTTTGCTGGTTTTATGTGTGTTGTGTCAGTGGAAAATATGTGTATGAATTGTTTTAATAATTCTACTGTTTGATAATGTTGTTCTGTAGTTATGTTGTTGGATATGTTGATTTGAGTTCCTTCTTTGTCATATACTTTTTCTCTGTCATTGGTAGTGATTGTATTTATAGTTTGGATTTCTTTGATTTGATTTGTTTTATTGTTTATCATTGTTTCTAATTCCAGTCTGTTTTTTATATGTTGTATGGAAATGTAGTTTTCCGTATATATTATTTTCTGTGGGATTTTATTTGATTTGGATTTGTTTTTTATTAGTGTGCCGGGGCACCAGTGGGTTCCATTATTTAGATTATACAGTACTATGGGAGGTCTGAATCCTGATCCATATACGTATCCATCTTTAGTTTTATCTGAATATATATAAGTGTCAAATCCATAGTGATTTGCAATGCTACTTAGTTGGTCATCATGCCACCAGTAGTTGGGTAATTCTGATAATCCTAGCAAGTCCAATATATTGGCTAGGGCTATTATCTTTTTGGGTTTGTTATCATTTATTGCGTTGGTCAAAGCGTATAGTCCGCAATTCCCATCGGACAGTACGTTTTCTCCCATGTGGTATTTGGAAAATATTTTGATAAATTGGGGGTATTGGATTTCAATCTCATTGTTTGTATTTGTAATGCGATTGTATGTATTCTTTATATTGGATATTATGTTTGGTTTCTTGTGTTTGGGTGTGTAGCATATGAGCAATTGTATTTCTGTTTTGTTAAATATTTCAAATATCATATTTTTAATTGTGTCCCATATTAGTTCATTGTTTGTTATGTTATTCGCGCATATGGCTATGTACTCGTATCCATCTGTTATGGCAGAGTTTTTTAGATTGTAGAAATTATCGAAAATGTCTATGTATGACGTGGGCGTGTTATATTTTTCTTTAGATATTAGATAATGTATAGTTCTTTTTTCTGTGTCAATTGTCGTTATTTCACCTGGTATTAGCTCTAAACTATCGAGTATATATGACATGTTGCCATATTTCTGTGTTAGTTTATTTGATAAATCTGTGTTGTGTTGAAGGTCGGCAGAGATTGTGTGAGCTATCGAATATTTGGGTGTTGTATTTAGTATGTCTATATCGGTTTCGATTATGTTTGTTGATGACATTATCTTGTGTTCTATATTGTCGATATGGTTTTCAATTTGTGAAAATTTGTTGTTCATTATTTCGGTTTTGATATTTTTATTTAAAGTTATTATCTTTTTAGTGTAATCGATTTTTGCTTTGTTAGAGGCTAGAAATTCATTTCCTAGTATTATGGTGCTGCTTAAGTTTTTTATCACGCATACTGGAATTTGGAATATTACGTTTTCAATCTTTAGGTTTATGGATGTGGTTCCTATAAATTGTAGTGGTGTTTTGTCTGGTCCTGATAGTTGATATTTGTTGGATGGACTTATTAGTCTGTGATCAATTAGGTCTGGACGGATGCAATTGATATTTGCTCCGGAGTCTATGGTGACTTCAATGTTTTCATTGTTTAATTTCGCTATTATGTATAGAGCATTGGCTTTTCTGTCTTTGTTAATTATTATGTGTATTAGATCTGTTTCTATACTTGTATTGTTTGGTTGTTGATGTTGCTTTATTTGTTCTGTTGTTGTTTCTGGATTTAAAGGGTAATGCATTTTTCCAGAATGGGCATTTAACCTTTTTATTGGTTTTTTTGGTTGGAACTAGGATTTTTGGAGTAGCAGGTTTCGGCTGTGTGATATCTCTTATTGCATAGGCTGCATATTAACTTCCATTTGCATTCAGCACTGGTGTGATTGTAGTTGTTGCAGTGTTCACATTGTGTCCTTTTTTCAAAGCTATTGTAAGTTGATATCTTGTTTTGATTGGTATCATTGTTTGGTGTTTGTGGATTATTATTTCGATTGTTATTAAATTTGTTGAAATTGTTATAATTAGGGCGATTGTTGAACCTATTGTAGTTTTGTTGTTGGAAATTGTTGTTTCTATTGGTGTTTGCTTGGTTGAGGTTTGGTTGATTATTGTGTTGATAGTTTTGTGGACGACGAATTGAGTATTGATTAAAATTTGGTGGATTGGCCTTGTTGTTAGTATTGAAATTGTTGTTGTTGTTGATTTGTTGGCTTAGATTATTCATCATGGATTCTAAGTTCGATATTTGTGTTGTTAATAAATCCATTTGTTTTTTGGTTTTATTATCTTCTATGGCATTTACGTGTTCTTTTGTGATTTGAGCCCTGATGTCATCACGAGATTGTGCAGTATTCCCGTTGATCATAAATTCAATAGATTCATATTTCCTTATATTTTTCTTCAGGTCTTCCAAGCTGGTGTTATCTAGTATTCCTACGTATCTAGCAATTTCTGGTTTGAGTCCTTTCATAATTGTGTGTGCAATCTCTGTTTGAGGCATTTTTGGATCTATTCTTTTACATAGATTTTCTGCATCATTGATATATGATGCTGTTGTCTCGTCAGATAGTTGCTTTCGTTTTTCTAACATGGTTCTCAGCATATGGTTCTGTGCTGTGGGTTCAAATTCTAGACGGAGTGCCTTTTCTATTTGATCCCAGGTGGTGGCTTGGTTGCTATTTTCATAATTGTCTAAAAATGTTGATGCTGTATTTTGAAGGTAAATGGCGAGGAATGATTTTTTTTGTTCCTCAGACCAACCGTTGATAGAGCTTGCTTTGTTGTATTTTTGAATAAATGAGTCAATATTTTCATGAACTGCCCCGGAAAACTTGTTGGGTTTATAGAATGGTATTCTGTCCGACATTTTGATATTGTGGTTGTTTTCAAAGTCGGAATTTATCCACTCTCCTTTTATATACCTAGATAATCTGGATCTTAGTGCTGGTAATTTTCCTTCTATTTTCAGTTTCCTTTTTTTGAGTTCTAAGACGATATCTTGATAGTTTAATTTAGTTATTTGATCCCAGAATATTGTGGCGACTGTTAAATCGTTGATTACTTCGGTTGTTATATTGTCTGTGTATTCGTTTTCTTGTTGGTTCTGGTTTTCGTGTACTGACATGTATTATGATTTGTTATATACTGGTTTGTGTTGGAAATGATATGCAGGAATATTCCAGAACTTGTATTAGTTCCAATAATAATGTCTCGTATGTTTGTGGAAAGAGGAATCCTCTGGTGGTATGTTTTATAATGAAATATTGGAAGTATTTCAAGAATCTTGAGTCGTTTATTTTAATTTCGCCACCAGCAATTTTGGTTAAATCTTTGATTGTGGCTATGTATTGAGTGGTGATTTTGATTTCTGTATTGAGTGTTGTTGTTGAGATTATGGTTTTGATGCACTGCTTTAGTAATACTATATATTGTATTCTCTGGCTGTTGCTCAGGTCTCTGAGGTCGTTTTGTATAGCATTCATTTATAGTGTGTTTGATGATTGTCTTGATTATGTTTTTGAATTGTTATTTGTTACGATTTTATTTGTGCTTTTTAGTGATTTGTTTAGGATATTTATTGTTGTTAAGAATTGAAATATTTCGAATTGATTTCTATTCGATAATGAAGTATAATAATTCTTCAATATTTGTATAAGTTCTAGCAATAAGAGTTCAAATGATGGTGCTAGTGTAAATTTTCCCTTGGTGTATTTTGTGGTGAAGTATTTTAAATATTTCAAAAATTCGGCGTTGTTAGGTCCTGATTGTAGCTGCGCGAGTTTTTTCAGATCTTTGATTGTTTTTTTATGTTGTAATGAAATATTGGATAGAATGTTTTGTTGTGTTAATTTGGTTAGTGTTTTTGTACACTGTTTTAATAAGATGGCGAATGACGCTTGTATAGCGTAATTGATGGTTTAAATGTTGTTAATAATATTCATTGGTTAGAGAAAATAGGTTGTATACTTGTGTAGGTATATTGTAATAACGTTTATTGTAGTAATAACGTTACCTAGTTGGGCGCCATTTGTAGTAAAATAAAATTAGGAAAGAGGAGGAAAGTCGGGGAAATAAGCAGTGGCGGCAAACTATAAAGGGTATGAATGATTAGAGTGTTGCGCTTATATCGTAAATTTTATCTCACTACAGAATATTTTTATTTGAATATCGAAATGATAATTTGTTCTTAATTATATAGTATATGAATTTTCACTTACCTCGTTTTATTGTGAATAAGAATATGTAGACTCTCCTTGGAATGTTGATTGGAGTGCCGTCAAATTGGTGTGAGTCGATGCACGTTATTTATACTTTACGATTTACACTACAATATCCTATTGCAATTAAGTATACATTTCTACATTACACACTGTTGGCTTCTTACGATTATGATGTAATGGAGTTTGTAAAGATATCTTTTGATGGAAGATGAGGATATTATGAGAATAGTTTTTTTTTGTATTGAATTGTGCTGATACTATGAACTCATGCATATCTGTTATAGATTTGTTTGTTTACTTTAAGAAATATTCATGAATGAATTTTATTGTTCGTTTTCATTCAATATTTTTTTTACAACATTCATTTCAACTTCTTGTATATCTGAGATTTGGACGTTAACGAGTACAGTACTTTCGGCCCAGTGCATAAGTCTGCCCGGTTCCATACTCGCGACTCAAACTGCAAATATACTTTGGCAATCCAATGTCTAGTATAGACAGTGAATTGGCAAACAGAAATTGAACTGAAATTTATTATTTAATATTTTTACGACATCTATTTCAGCTACCTGTATATTTGAGATTTGGACGTTTACGAGTACAGTACTTTCGGCCCAGTGCATAAGTCTGCCCGGTTCCGTACTCGCGACTCAAACTGCAAATATACTTTGAAAACCCAATGTCTAACAGAGATAGTGAATTGACGAACAATAATTGAAGTGAAATTTGTTATTTAATATTTTCACGACATCCATTTCAACTACCTGTATGTTTGAGATTTGGACGTTTACGAATACAGTACTTTCGGCCCAGTGCACAAGTCTGCCCGGTTCCGTACTCGCGACTCAAACTGCAAACATACTTTGGCAACCCAATGTCTAGTATAGACACTGAATTGACAAGCAGTAATTGAACTGAAATTTACGTAGATACTTTTACGAATTAAAATGCATTTCAAGTATAGTACAATTGGCTTAAATCTGATATTTTTAGGGATGTAGGACTTGGACACGAGTATATGGATATCTTCCCTACATAGCTTAACGTTATTGAAGGATTGTTAGGGTTATAAGAATTGAAATAACAATGTTGTCATGGTAAAATAGTAAAGTGAATATACCCAAAATGAGCTCATACCTGGTTTCAAAACAAACGCAATAATAAGTTAACTTTGTAGAGAAAGAAATTAATTTTGTGTCAAAAGAGAAGTTGGTTGATGGTGCATGAGTTGGCCTGCGGTCGTCATCAGCGTGGTCCTCCGTGTTGCGTGGAATGTACTGCTACTGGTGTGCCGCTGTACTGAATACTGGATGATTTGTGGTTTGTGCGTGGCGTTTATATACGAAAACGATTGTCTTATCCCTACTCTATTGTTATTACGTAACGTTACAATAGATTATTCGTTTTTGTTATGTGGATTGCGCATGTGCGCGTGTTCATGTCGTGTTTTCGCATAATGTCGTTGGTTTTTTTGTAAATTTTATATGATAAAAGTGTTCCCTACACCGAGTGTCATCTTATGATTATTTTTGCGCATAATATTATCAGTGATTTCAATTTGTTTGACCAAATATCGTATGGTGCGCATGTATGCACATTTTATGTCATTTTTGCACATTGTCGTTACTTTTTGGCTATATTGTTATAAGTAGGGTGTTTTGTATGTTGTGTGTTGTCTTATCGTTCTTTTCGCGCATAGTTTCTGCAGTGACATCTGGTTACTTGACCGAATGTGGTGTGGTGCGCATGTGCGCACGTTTTATGTCATTTTTGCACACTGTTGTTGATTTTTGGCGATATCAGTATGAGAAGGTTGTTTCGTATACCGTGTCTTGTTTTAATGTTGTTTTTGCGCATAGTTTTGGTAGTGACATCTGTTTATTTGACCGAATGTGGTGTGGTGCGCATGTGCGCACGTTTTATGTCATTTTTGCACACTGTTGTTGATTTTTGGCGATATCAGTATGAGAAGGTTGTTTCGTATACCGTGTCTTGTTTTAATGTTGTTTTTGCGCATAGTTTTGGTATCGACATTTGGTTGTTTTACCAAATGTTGTGTAGTGCGCATATGTGCACATTTGAGTTGAGTTTTGTACACCGGAAGTGTCTCTGTGGTGTAATTTGTATAGGCTTATTATGTCGATGAATTAAATATTTGGTATTATGATTTCGTAAGTTAGTGCTATATCGAATTTTGATGAGGTGTTGTCTTTTGATCTGCGTTATGATATATTGTTGCTATTTTGTTATTTTCCCTTCGTGTAATTTTTGTAGTGATATTTTGTCGCTTAGATGCTTGAGTGAGTAACATACTTTAATCATATGTCATTGTGGGTTTTTGTAATTTTTGTATGAAGTATTTGTTTCAATAGGTTGTGTGTTTAAGTTTGTTTAATGTCCTTTTTCATTTGTGTAAAGTTTTAGCGACAGTTTTGGGCATTTAATTAATTTTTGTATTTGTGCGCATGCGTCGGTGTTCGTATAGTGTGGAATTTTTGGTTACGTAATGATGTACGTGTGTTGCGTAATGTTTTATTATCTTGTTGTTTCATTATAACCATATATGGGCATGTTTTTTAGTATATGTACGTCTCGGAAATATTACTTCGCAATCATTAAGGAATGTTGGTTGCCTAATATTTCTTGGTGTTGCGTAATGTGATTTAATTGCGTTTGTGTTTTTGCGTGTGTTTAATGTCCTTTTTAATTTGTGTAAAGTTTTAGCGACAGTTTTTGGCATTCAATTAATTTTTGTATTAGTGCGCATGCGTCGATGTTCGTATAGTATGGAATTTTCGGTTACGTAATGATGTATGTGTGTTGCGTAATGTTTTATTATCTTGTTGTTTCATTATAACCATATATGGGCATATTTTTCGGTGTATGAGCGTCTTGGAAATATTGTTATGTAATCGTTAAGGAATGTTGGTTGCCTAATATTTCTTGGTGTTGCGTAATGTGATTTAATTGCGTTTGTGTTTTTACGCCCAAGTATGAACCTACC